GGGATGGAGGTATGGGGTTGGGTTATGGGATCGGGGTACGGGATTGGGACATAGGATTGGGTAATGGGATTTGGATATGGGATGGGGGTATGGGGTTGGGGGATGGGATTTGGATATGAGGCTGGGATATGGGGTTGGGTAATAGGATTTGGGTATGGGATGGGGGATGGGGTGGGGATATGGGATTGGGATTGGGGTTGGGTAATGGGATTGGGGTACGGGATGGGGTATAGGGTTGGGATATGGTATGGGTTATAGGAAGGGGGTATTGGGGTGTGGCATATTGGCACACGTGTGCACGCACGCACTTGCGTGTGCTGACAGGTGAGCGTGTGTGGGCGCCCCGTGCACGCACGAGGCGGTGCGTGTGAGACACGCGCAAACCCCGCGGTGCCCCCGGCCGGGATTCGAACCCGCGTCTCTCCCGGGTCCAGCCCTCGCACCGCCCCTCTACGGGGGGCACGACCGCTTCCGGTCAAACCCCGGAAGCGTTGCTTGCTGCGCGCTGCGCTTCCGGCCACGCCCAGGAAGTTGGATGCCTTGCGGTGCACCCTGGGAGCTGTGGTGTTTTCTCGTGACGTCACCACGGCGGCGCCCTCGCTGCGAACTACGCCTCCCGGCAGCCTTTGCGCGCCGGCGGCCGCCATCTTGTTTTACCGGCGTGAGCGCTGAGCCGGGGCGGTTCGGTGCCGGCGGCTCCGCGGACGATGCTGGCCGCCCTGTGGGGCCGCCCGCCGCCGCCGGGCCTGGCTCGCTTCGTCGGGCCTCGCCGGTGGTTCCGTGCCCCGCCGGCCGCTCTTGGAGATCCGGCGGTGAGCACCGCGGCCGAACGGCTCCGTTTGATCCCGGCAGCCGCCGCCAGAGGCCGCCGCCATCCCGTGAGGACGACGAGCGCGGCGCTGCCTTGGCGGGAAGCGACCGCGGGGGGGCGGCTGTGCGGGGACGGCGCCGGGCCGGGCCGTAACTTAACGGCTGAGCCTCGAGGGGGACGGAGCGGCGATGGGAAAACAGCCCCCGGCAGCGGGGCGGTGTTGGTTGCGCTGGGCGCCGTGGCGGCGTGCTTCGGGAGGGAGCGGTCCGCCAAGGGTGGGTAT